CTGGCACGGAGAACTTTTAGGAAGTTTACACACGTGCTCCAATGGTACTAATAATATGTTATTTAGTAATTATTTATATACTACTTCAGCCCGCGACTTCGTGTTGTAAACGACAATTATTGATGGCAACCAAACTATAATTGAAACATATATACGGCGTCATTATTTTATTCATATCCGTCATACTCGTAAACGAGTGCTGCTTGTAGCGACTGGTCTGCTCTAATCACTACGACTGATTTACTCTTATTTAGTTACTAATCTGTTGATTGTGTATTTAATATTGTGATTATGAATTAGTTCCAGTTGGTAGTTTGTATTACATTTAAACTTAACGTAGAGTTACAATAATTATCTAAAAGAGCAACATGCAGGTTTCATTCTCGTTCTTTGTGTGATAAAATAGATTTCCGAATGAGTGGTAGACAAATATATATATATATTATAAATGTAAAAAAAATTAAGTATGGATGTTTGTTACTCTTTCACGCAAAAACTACAGAACGGATTTTGATGAAACTTACAGTAATATAGCTTATGCATCAGAATAACATATATTATTTGACAGCCTCGGTGGTCTAGTGGTTTCGCACACCGCTTTACTATCCAATGGTTGTGGGTTCGATTCCTCGTACGGTACAAACATTTGTATTCATGAGTATGATTGTTTGTATCGGTGTTTTCTACGTATAATATGTATTTATTTATAAAATAAAATGTATCCATGTATTTATGTTGTCTAGTACCCATAACACAAGCTCTGCTTAGCTTGGGACTAGATGGCGCTGTGAATTGTCCCGAGATATTATTATTATTATTATTATTATTGAAATTTAACGCGAGTGAAGCCGCGAGTACTGGTATTTGAATAAAGACTTTTTTTTTTAATTATTAACTAATCTTTGCCTTACTCAAATCATAAAAAAACGTTTATGTAATTCGAACTAACGTTATACTATGTAATATTATATTATCTGTGGTTAGACGGTGCTTCTGCTGTCTGCCTTAGTTGGTATACCGCTGAATCGCGATTATTTCTCTTTGAGTTTAGTTAATCAATTATTCTAATAATGTTGGCAGAGACACATGCAGGATGTGTCGCGGTATGGAATTTGATTTAGCGAGATTTGTAATTCTAAAAAGTGACTTTAAATATAACTTTATATATATGTATAGTATGTATGAATGTAGTGAACTTCTTGGTACTATAATATATATATATGGTACTAGCTGCACCCGCGACTTCGTCCGCATAAAATGTCGATACTTCCATATAACCTTTCATATTCCCTTTCAACCCCTTGCAACCCTTTTTTCACATTAAAAAGTAGCCTATGTCCTTTGTCAGGGTCTAAACTATCTTTATACCAAATTTCATTTAAATCTGTACATACAAGAATAAAGATATTTTGAATTTGAATTTGAATTTGAATAAGTCAGCTCGTGCCAATTGTGATTCTTTCAGAGTGGTAAATCTTTATTTACCATTACATTGCTTTCTGTATTATTTTTTAACTTTAGACACGTTTCTTTTTATTGCCTTCTATACTACATCGCTGTTGAATCGATTGCGTTTTTTTTTTATAGTTTTTATACTTTATTTTTAAACTCAGATACTCAGTTATCTAGATACCTTCAGTCCAATAAATGTCCCTGAAGAAGAAATATATTATTATATGTATTTCAATGTGAAATACATATAACGCACGTTTATAGAATTATTGCCCCCTTCGATCCATCCCCCATCCAATTCAAACGGGGATCGAAATTACGACGGCCTGAGCCGAGGTTCGAACCCCTAGTGGTGCCCTCAGACTAAAGTCGTATCCGTCAGGCAGGAGTTGGCCTTCAGCCGCTCCATAAGTCCTTCCTTTGGTTTGGAGTGCCATCTGCACTCGCCCCTAACGCCCGGTGAAGCTGTAAAGGCCAGCTACGGCGAACAGCATTATAGTCCGAAAAAAAAATCAAAATAGAATTATTGTTTATGTATTACTAGATACTCGCCCCGGCTTCGCCCGTGTGTACATGTTTTATATATATAAACCTTCTTCTAGACTCACTCTATCTATTAAAACATACCGCTTCAAAATCAATTGCGTAGTTTTTAAGATTTAAGCATACATAGGGACAGACAGCGACAGCGATTTCGTTTTATACTATGTAATGATATTATAATAGTAAAATGATTAGTATGGATATACCAACTGATACTTACAGATACTTGCTATCTGTAGTGTTGGTAGTTGAGATAAAACCCACGGTAGTCAGAAATGAGTCACGAGGCCAATCAATCGGACCGTCCAATCAATCTCACGCCGTTCGATCACCTGCAAAAAGTAAAGGAAGATCTCCGATAACCTCCCGTACTCGGCTAATAAGTTTGCTCACTCTTGCATAGCGAAACGGAATTGAACCAATTCCACTTTTTAAATTTCCCAATCGCTGCATGCATCAGGAGGGGATTTTTTCACGTTGTTCCGTTTGTTTTTAACACTAGTTCTTGTTTGACGGATTGAAATGTTAGTCATCATTATTGCCTTGCTTTTATCTTGGTGGCGTGGTGGGCCGGGTCATTGGGCTCCCTAAAATATGGTCGAGCGCAGTGATGGCTGGCTCATACGTCATACTCGTGAACGACTGCTGCTTGTAGGGACTGGTCTGCTCTTATCATTACGACTGATTTAATCTTATTGTATATTTGACCCAAAAAATTAGTGCTGGTTGGTAGTTTGTATTCACACGTTTCGATTTGTAAATGTAAACTTACAAGGATTATTTAAAAGAGCAACACGCAAGTTTCTTGCTCGTTCTTCTTGTGATGAGAAAGCTTTCCGAACGAGTGGTAGATAAAAAACAAATTGTTATGACTGTTCAAAAGTGCTTATTAAGTTTTTTTTTTATAACACAGGGGACAAACGAGCATGCGGCTCACCCGATGTCAATCACCCGCAACATCAGGAGAATTGCAAGTACGTTGTCGGCCTTTTAAAAAGGAATAAGCTCTTTTCTTGAAGGTTTCAATATCGTATCGGTTCGGAAATACCATTGCTGGAAGGTGATTCCACAATGTGGTTGTGCGAGGCAAAAAGTTTCTAGAAAACCGCTCTGTGGAGGACCGCCATTCATCCAGATGATCAGGATGGTATTTTAGTTTCTGGCGGGTGGTACGGTGGTGAAACTCAGCAGCTGGTATTAATCCGAACAATTCCTCAGAACACTCCCCGCGATATATGCGGTAGAAAATGCACAGAGATGCAATATCTGGCCGCAAAGCCAATGGGTCGAGTCTGTCACATAGACGTTGATTACCAATGATTCTGGCTGCTCGGTTCTGAATGCGGTCAAATGGAAGAAGCTGGTATGTATCGAATGTATTTAACATAGCCATTACATGGAATTTCCTGGGAAAAATAAAAATTACACCGGACGTAGGTACCGCATCCGGTGTGGTGCTCAGCAGGTGGTATTAATCCGAACAATTCCTCAGAACACTCCCCGTGATATATGCGGTAGAAAATGCACAGAGATGCAATATCATAGTTTATTTGAATAAATGATTTTCTATTCTATTCTATTCTTATTATTTGGGGTCGGCGCTGTCTTCCATAGGTTTTTGGCATAGGTTTTTCGGCCGGCTGCTTGCCTCACACCAACCCTCCTAAAGCTAGGAAAGCTATTATTGGTTGTTTAACGCCCACTGTAAAGTCGCCCGTTAGTACTAGTTATCATTGCACCGGAATTTCATTATATCAGTCCTATTTATGGGAATAGGTATAAAATTTTACAATAAGATACCAAAGGATATATTGGAATTACCCTTAAATAAATTCAAAACATCTGTTAAATCATATTTACTGAGCAAGGCCTATTACTCACTAAACGATTACTTGAATGACGAGCGTGCATGGCAATAGTTTTCATGTTCGGGATTTTCATTTAATGTTAGACATAGAAACCTATATAAATACCTATGCATTGTAAAAAACTGTATTTAAAAAATAAGTAATTCAATTGAGTTTCTTGCCAGTTCTTCTCAATTGGATCTATATACCGAACTGGAGGGTAGGGAAAAAAAATTCTAATGTAAAAACTTGACGTTCATAAACGGCTAAAATGTCCTACATGAATAAATGATTTTTGAATTTGAATTTGAATTTGAATTTGAATTTGAATTATAATAAGGTTTTTTTTTTCCTTAGTTATTGGCATGCTAACCAAGTTTTAAGTTTTTTCTTCGCTCCCCGGTTAGCAAAGGAGAAACTTGATATGTTAGTATGTCGTAAAACTATCATCGCTCCGGGTGCCCTTTCGTGTTGTACGATCACTCGTGGTCATATTGGTATGTATTTTAGTGCCTTACCACTAAAATACATACTGATATGGTCCCTCGTGGTCATGTAAAGTGCTCTACCAATATAATACCAATATCGTCCACCTGTGGACTGATCAAAACGACTGACAATCGACAACTGATCAGTTAATTATTATTATTCTGCTTTAGATACTACAACTGTTAAACTTTAATAAATACTGTAAATGTACGTTTAAATGTTATTCACAAATCTAAAAATCTAAAAAAATGTAAATAGTACGAAATGAAATTTTTTTTATTCTTATTAAAAAATATTTTCAATATTAAATAAATACATTCTATATATTTTAAATATGTTATATTATTATTATATATATAAAATAATCTATAGTAAAATATTTTTATAGTTAATTCACGTTTATTATCACTATATTCAATACAGTAATTAGTTCAATAAATAATTTAGTTCGAAGTGAATTTCTTAGATCCGTAGTAAATTTCATTGAACTTTTGTGAATAAATAGATACAGAATGCAGAGTATCTATTAATAAAACTGTAATTAAGTTTATTGAAATACAGATTATTTCTATTACTCCAAAGTAATCGTATTTGCCTCAGCAGCAGTGCTTGTAATTAATTAAGACCAGTACAACCAACTAAATATTGTCCACTAAGCACTGCACTAACCATCTCACCCCATCTTGCTGTCATTATTTAGCATATAACAATAATAATCTCATGACAATTCACACAGCTCCGTCTAGTCCCAAGCTAAGCAGAACTTGTGTTATGGGTACCAGACAACTGATATAAATACATGGATAGATATTTTTTCGTACATACATTCTTAATTACATAGTGTTATATAAAACAAAGTCGCTGTCGCTGTCTGTCCGTCCCTATGTATGCTTATATTGAAAACTTCGCAATGAATTTTGAAGTTTTTTGTAACAGATAGAGTGATTCAAGAGGAAGGTTTATATATATAATACATGTACACCCGTGGGAAGCCGGAGTAGCTAGTTATACATAAAAAACACCCAGACCGATACAAACAATCATATTTATGAATACAAATGTTTGCACAGTGTGAGAAATCGAACCCGGGACCCTCAGAAGTAAGGTTAAACAGCTAGACCACCGAGGCCGTCAATACAATATAATAATACAATACAATTCAAAATTCAAAAATCATTTATTCATGTAGGACATTTTAGCCGCTTATGAACGTCAAATTTTTACATTATAATTTTATTTTTTCCCTACCGTCCAGTTCGGTATATAGATCCAATTGAGAATAACTGACAAGAAACTCAATTGAATTACTTTTTTTTTAAAGCCAGTTTATTTACAATGTATTTTTATATAGGTGTCTATGTCTAACATTAAATAAAAATTCAGTGCATGAACTATTGCCATGCACACTCGTCATTCAAGTAATCGTTTAGTGAGCAATAGGCCCTGCTCAATAAATATGATTTAACAGATGTTTTGAATTTATTTAAGGGTAATTCCAACACTATACAATTATACAACACAACTGTACAATACAACTAAAATAAATATAGAATAGAGTGCATACTCTCGTTTGATCTAATCTTCTTACGCCAAAACTTACCCCATTGGTATGCTGCAGCAATACGCATTACAGCACCAACTCGAGGCTTTACATTATCAGTGTCCAGTCCTGCTCGATTTGAATTTCAATACATCCAGCGGGCGCCGGTTTAGGGTACCATCGTGTACCGATTTTTGGGGAGATGGGAGAGGTGCCAGGTGACTGTTTGATGTCTAAACTCGGATTTGTAAGGGTTATGGAAAAGTTGTAAACTTTGAAACGTGTAACTCTGTTTGCAGGGAAATATAAAACATTATTTGTTTATACGGTAGTTATTTTAGTTTATTTATAGCTGTTACGCGTGGATTTGCCGGTGTTTTTACAGTAATATATGACCTATGTTCTGAAAAATTTTGAAGTATTAATTATATCACTAAATCGAGTGAAAATTTTTGAGATATTATTTAATGATTAATATATACAGACTAATTATATAAGTAATTGTAATATATGGAATTGAAAGAGTTTTAGCACATTTTAGGAAAAAGATAACATGACAATTTTTTTTAAGTGTAAATATTTTGCTATGATTCTTTTTTTATGTAATGTTTAATCATTCACAAATTACATTTTTTTTGCGATTTTAGCGATCCGTCCCGATTTCGCATGGATGCATTACAAATCTTTTAATTTCTCGACTTGTTTTATATTATAACAGACAACAGTGGCGACTTTGTTCCATGTATATATATATTAATAATAATAATAATCTCAGGACAATTCACACAGCATTATCTAGACCCAAGTTAAGCTAGCTAAAGCTTGTGTTATGGGTACTAGATAACTGATATATATACATAGATATATATATATTTTTTGTAAATAAATACATATTATACATAGAAAACACCCAGACCGATACAAACAATTGTACTCATGAATACAAATGTTTCTGCCGTGCGAGGAATCGAACCCGCGACCATCGTTCGTAAAGCGGTGTACTAGACCGCTAGACCACCGAGGTCGTCAAATATATTATATATAACTCAAAGGTGACTGACATAGTGATTTATCAACGCACAGCCCAAACGACTGGACGGATCGGGCTGATATTTGGCATGCAGGTAGATATTATGACGTAGGCATCCGCTAAGAAAGGATTTTGATTAATTCTACAACCAAGGGGATAAATTAACGCGAGTGAAGCCGCGGGCAAAATAGAAATAATCTTCATTCAAATAAACTTAATATAAGCACTTTTGAATAGTTAAGTTTTTTTTTCTACCGCTTATTCGGAATGCAGATTCATCACAAGAAGAATAAGCAAGAAACTTGTGTGTTGCTCTTTTAAATAAATCTTTTAAATAAAATAATATTGATTTACTTATATTTATTTAACAACAAGGATTAGCCATGCGAAAATCAACATAGAAACTGCTACGCACTTAATCTCTGTTCAATCAGATAACATTGTCAGCGCTACGAATTTTAAGTTAGATATTTTCTAACAGTGCGTTAAAGTATACAAATTAATTAAATATTTCGTGGCCACAATCATCTATTTATAACAGTTGGAGCATTGTCAGCGCTATGAATTTTAAGTTAGATATTTTCTACAAAAACATTAGTTAAAAAGCTAGTACTATTAAAAAGATTAGTCAAAGTTAAAGTTGAATCAAACTCAAAATTATTTATACGTGAAGCAACATTTTTTGTCAAATATACACCAAGATTTTTTATCACCAACTCAACCGTTGGCCCGGTCAACTACTAACACCTGAAAAAACTAACCTTGAATACGTTCCTGTAATAAATATTATTTTCAGTAGAACAGGCTTATCATAAAGAGCAGTAAATCACGACAAGTCAAGGTAAACACGTTACAAAACAAATTAAGACCGTAAAAGCATAGATCTTAAGCATACACCATACATTTTGCATCGGCCAATACAGCACAAGATAATGGCGCCGTTCAGGCGAAAAGATAGGGAGAATTTTCAAAGCCGAGAGGGAACTAAGCCCCATCGAGGCTAACAGATTTATTGTTTAAGATTGTGAACCGGACAACCGTGTATTATGGACCGTGTAAAGACAATGCCCGGGTCGCTACTGTGAAATATACCGTCGGTGGATATAGAGACGGAGTCCTATTGATGGACGTGGATGTACGTTGATATGTTACATCCATCTGGTAGCTTTGGATTTGAGGAGAGAATGATGCCTGTATCCAAAACTAAATACCGAAAAACTTTCAACATTAAGTAAAGTAACAAACTCAAAAATAATAATAGTATTGTTAATGTAAATGATTGTACATTGTGATCCAAAGATAGCATTTGTTATTTTAGTTTACAACTGTATCACTAGATGGCGTTGATTAATTTTATACATTTTCTACATCTCGCTATTAAGATTTCTTTTTGAGTTGATATAAGATTTGAATGTACTAAAAAATACATAATACAATGACCACTGTGGAAAGATCTTGGCAGTTTAATTTAATAACTACCCTAATCGAATTACACCTAGAGATGTGCTAACTCGTAATAAACATGACTCGAGTTGAAATTCTTCTTAAAAAAAAACTATTTATTACTTCGAACAATTCTAATGTTTTTGGGCACAGCTAGCCTTGAAAGCTTCACCGAACTATAGGGGGCGAGTAGAAATGGCACTTTAAAGCCGCGGAAGGACTTATAGAACGCATAATCATTTTAATGATAACATAATCGGACCAATATGCGAAAAAAAAATTATAACAACCTCAAATCAATACTGAAATATATGTGACGAGTGAAAATTGTATGATACGAAATGATCGGAAAATTTCATGTGATTGTCGGTTCAATGACAGAATCATGCTCTCGCTCTTTCACTTGATTTATTCATTTACCAGTTGAATTCTTTCAACTCGAGTTGGCAGAATTCAACAGAGTTAACTTGAATTAAGCGCAATGCGAGTTATCTCGAGTTGATACATCTTTAAGTACACCCTTTGGGATCCGTGGATCGTGTATTTAATGATTATCAACCTAAAAATGAAAATTAGAAAATACATACATATTGCAAAATAAATTATAAAAAGAAGGGTAAATAAATGAATATTTTAAAATACATTTAATGTAAGATTTTTAATCTTTACCTGGTGTGAGAGATTGATTTCCTTAAAATTTGGGAGTATGTATGTATGGATGAATATTCGTTACTCTTTCACGTAAAAAAATACTTCACGGATTTTGATGAAACTTTACCGTAATATAGCGTATACATGAGAATAACATATAGGTTATAATTTAAAAATATATTATTTATATTGGGCGAAATACAATGATAACTGTCAAGTAAGTATGATGCAGACGAATTTACGCGGGCAGCTAGTATCAAAATATATTTACTAACTTCTATTTTAATAATATTTAGTACTAGCTGTGCTCGCGGATTCACCTGTGTTAAATTACAATGTAAAATATAGCCTATGTGTGAAAGATGGAGATCAAGATGACGAGCAAAAAGTAAAAACGGCACCGTTGTAGTATGTAGAATATTTTTTATTAAATTGACTTATGTCATATAAAAACAATATAATATTATAAAAAATATAGACAATAAAAATGTATATAAAATAGTTTCCAACACTATGTGTTATTTTGATGTATATATTACTAAAGTTTTATTTTTTTTAAAGTTTTTTTTTACTAAAGTTTTTTTTTATTATATTATTAAAGTTTAATCGATCGATATAAAGATCGCCATAATGATCGCCAACCTCCGATAGGAAATGGCACCGAAAGTTTAATCAAAACCCATTCAGTACTTTTTGCGTGAAAGAATAACAAACGTCCATACTTACAAACTTTCGTATTTACAATATTAAAATGATATATTTTTTAAAATGATGTGTTGAATTTAATTTAGTACATAATGAGATGTTCTCGGTGTAAATTTTAGAGCTGCCTCTGTATCATGTAAGTGTATACAAATGGGTGACATCCGATTTAATATGAGGCAATAAATCATACAGATTATTACAAAATGATTATGTTACGTTACGTCACGTGTAACGCGCCGTGCCTGATGAAATTATTTCACGAGCGAGCAGATTGCGGAATTATTCATCGGAATTGGGAGATTTTTTACGGCCACCGGTAGCTGT